TCTGACTCCATACCTCCTGATGACGGCGTGACACGCATTGTGGGTGGCACAGGTGCCAAGCCAGGGGCTTGGCCCTGGATCGTCAGCATCCAGCACCCCTGGGTACCAGGCCTGGAACACTGGTGTGGAGGGTCCCTCATTGGTGCGGAATGGGTCCTCACAGCAGCCCACTGCTTTGACAGCATCAAGTAAGGAGGAGCAGAGAATGGGGACATCCCCACAACTCCAGCAGGTGCCCTGTCAGCAGCACCACCTGCTGTTCCCATCCTCTTTCCTCTCAGGCAGCCAGGCTGCCACACTGCTCAGGAGAAGCCTGGGCTCATGCCAAGGCTTCCTAGCAGCCTCCAGCTTGACATTCCCCCAGGCATGTGAGGGCACTCACACCTGCCAGAGCACTGCTTCCTCTCTGCCTTGCCATGCAGAGGTCTGGCAAGTGCAGGGCTGCTGTGGCACTGTGGCTCTGCTCCCTCTCAGCCCTCTCTCCATCTACCTTCCAGGCAAATTAGCATCCTGAACGTGGTGATTGGGGCCACCCAGTTGACTCAGCCAGGTGCTGGGGCAGAAGTGCGCAAGATTAAGAAGCTTCATCGTCATGAAAACTATAAGAGAAGTGATATAAGTAATGATATTGCCTTGCTGGAACTGAATGAGCCTGTCCAGTGCAGCCCTTACATCCAGCTGGCCTGTGTGGCTGACCCCACCCTAATAGTCTCAGCCCTGCACAACTGCTGGATTGCTGGCTGGGGTGCCACCACAGAAGGAAGTGAGTTCCCAAGAGGGACCCCGGCCTAGAGAGCAAACTCAGGACACTGGGGAGCGGGTTTCCCAGCTTCCACACAGCAGAAGCCAAAGGCAGGCTGCAGAACATACACCTCTGCAGAGATGGGTCTGGCCCGCTCCCCAAAGGCTGGCAGCGGGGTCACAGTGCCCCAGTACCTCTGCAGAGGCAAAGCTACCAAGGGAAGGGTATTCCCTTCAGACAGGGGAGGGGGAGAACTGGCAAGGAGCTGCTGGGGACTCATTCCTTTCTCTGGTCACAGATGAAGACTCAAGTGATCACCTCCAGGAGGCCAAGGTCCAGCTCATCGATGTCCAGCTCTGCAACAGCAGTGGCTGGTACTCAGGGGAAATCCACACCCACAACTTGTGTGCTGGTTACCCAGAGGGCAATATTGACACCTGCCAGGTAGGAGTGTGCCATGAGCCACTCACCCCCCAGCAGCACCACTCCAACACAGCCCAGGGCCTGCTCTGCCCAGCCACTCAGTCGCCCTCCCAGCCCCAGGTCATTCCCAGCTGATCTGGGGGCTTCCCACACACTCCCCATCCACCCCTGCCTGCCCTTGTGCCAAAAGCCCAGACAGCACAGCTAGTACTCCTGGCAGCCCAGAGGTCCAGGTGCCAAACATCCATCCTCTGCACATCCAGGAGCCCTGTGCAGAGAAGAGAGAGCGCTGATTTACAGGACCCCAGGTCATTCACAGCCAAGCTTCTGGAGGCTCAAGCACTTGAATACAGTTCTGGCAAGGGCTGTGAGAGGGAAGGAGACAGCCCGTGTGCTGACAGGGGCAACCCAATACCACCTTGATCCTCTGCTCTGCTGCAGGGTGACAGCGGTGGTCCTCTCATGTGCCAAGACAACGATGCAGACTCCTGGTGGGTTGTCGGAGTGACCAGCTGGGGAAGAGGCTGCGCCAGAGCAAAACTTCCTGGAGTCTACACCTCCACTCAGTACTTCTATGACTGGATTCTGGCCCAGATGGGGCTGAGCCCATTTGGAAGTGCTTCCTGAGCAGCAGGATGGGCAGGATCCAGGGCATGCTCCAGTGCACAGCAATGGTTTTCTGCTGGAGCAATGCCTGCTGATCCAAAAGCAGCCTCAGGGTGAAAATTTTGCTCTGACCACACTGCTCTCTGTGTGCATGCAGACATTGGAGATGACTTATGTGTTGAAGTAAAGTTGTCCATGGTCACAGGGAACCACCTTTCAGTGCAATTCCAACTCCTGGGCAAAGAAAGGACTGCCAAAATTGGCAACTGCAGAATGAGCCTGAGGGCAGACCTGCCGGGCACAAAAGGACAGAGTGGCTCCAAGAGCCACTACTCAGCCAGAGTGCCTGGTCAGGGTGGAAAGTTCTCTGAGCCAGCATGGGCTGCAGGAACTTGATACATTAAGCCAAAGAAAAGGGATAGGAAATAATATACCTTGAGGGTGGTGCTCAAATGCATTTGGACTGCTGATTAGGGCCTGGTATCAACCTGGGATAAGGAAACAGATCTGGGAAAATCCCAAGCATGACACGGGAAACTCCTGACTCCTGACTGGAGTGCCAGTGCTCTAAGGCAGAGCCAGATTTCACAGGTAATAAAGGGTATTGATGTGCCAGGCGGTCACACTTCACAGATACTCAAAGGAAGAGCTGGGGTCATTCTGGGGAGGGGAACCTGGCAGGAACAGAAGGAAAGCACACCAGGAATGCCATGGAAGGCCAAGGTGTGTGGGCCAACACCACCTGCAACACCAAGACTGTTGACAAATGCTCCAGCAGTGCTGCCCTAAGGTCCCATCTGGGCTGCCAAAGTGCTGAGGAAACTCCCCTCTGTGACCATTCCAGAGGCACAGGTGACTCCAATGAGCCAATGGTTGCCCCATTT